CTGTCACTGACTAGGGAGAAGGGTAGGAATTGGAAGAGCGGTTTGGGGGTGCAATGCCCCCCCAACCCCAAAATGGTCTTGGTGATATTTTGCCTCAAGAACAAATATGCAAACAGCAAACATTACAGTTTTCCCTATTCTACAAGGGAATACTCCAGTTGTCTGTGGTCTCTTATCTTGGGGTGAATTACCGTATTTTTGCCCTATAGGACGCACTTTTCCCCCTCCAAAAATGAAGGGGAAATCTGGGTGCGTCCTATGGGGCGAATGCAGGCTTCAGGAAGACATCGCAGCCTAGGAAGCCCTGCAGGAGGTAGATAGCAGCCTGCCGCCCGGCGTGCATGCCGCCCTGAAGCAGAGCGCCCCTTGCACCGGGCAGACATCCGCAGCGTGGGGAGCCCTGCAGGAGTTCCCCACAGGGCTCCCCACGCTGCGGATAGCAGCCTGCCGCCCAGCGCGAATGGCACCGTGAAGCAGAGCGCCCCACGCGCCGGACGGACATCCGCAGCGTGGGGAGCCCTGCAGGAGTTCCCCGCAGGGCTCCCCACGCTGCGGATAGCAGCCTGCCGCCCGGCGGGCGGGGCACCCTGAAGCAAAGCGCCCCTCGCGCCAGGCAGACATCAGCCAGCCCCACAAGCTCGGGGGACAGCAGGGAGGCGCAGCGCCGCCATCCCGCTGTTCCTCGACCTGGTTTGGTTTCCCCGACCTGCTTTTGGGAGGGAAATAAAGGGAAAAAAAGTTCCCTTTATTTCCCCCCCCAAAAAACTAGGTGCGTCCTATGGGACGGAGCGTCCTATGGGACGAAAAATACGGTACTTCGTCTGCCCTGCCTTTGGGCAAACTGTTTTTAAAATGCCACAGTTGGTTACTTGGGTTGCCCTCCTTCAAGTGTCAGTCTCTTCCCCCCAGATTTTAAAAAAGTTAAATCATATGTGTGAATAAAGAAATCCTGGCCTCCTGTCTACACCCATTTTACAAGCATCTGTGTGAACGCTGAAGGCACCAGGCCATTTCCAATGTTGCTGACAGGTGAGATGGTTCTTCTTGAACTGTTCATAACCCAGGATGGTTGCTTTTCTCTTCCCTAAGTCTCCAGCCACACAGAAGGTCCCTTTGGCCAGGGCAAGCTGGGGCCGGGCAAAAGGTTTCCATCTGCTGCTTGTACTAGTTGTGGAGTTGTGAGCTCAGGCAGTCAGGCGTGTGTATCATTTTAGGAGGTAAAGCTTAGCTTTTGCAGATTGCTTCAGCGAGGGGTCATAAAAATGTTTTTGGGTTTGTGCCATTCAAAGCTGCTATTATTTTTGTGATCGGACAGCATTTAGCTTGGTAAATCTACATTTTGATGAAGAGGCACATAAACTGCTTGTGGGAAATCAAATAATTTTTTACCTTCTGAAAATGTCAGGTAATGCTTAATAATTATAATGATATAATAATATGTGGATTCAACTGCCAACCAGTTGGACGTGCAAAATAAGCTCTCAAAGTTTATTTAAGCGGTGCCTGTTTTTCTGGAATTAAGCAAACCAAAAAGGTAGCCAGTTTTCAATGCTAAACATATTTGGCGTGGGGATTTGCCCAGGCGGTTAACAAATGGCTGCTTTACACAGGTGTAAACATGGGTGGTTGGCACCTGAAGGTGTGAGCTGCCTTTACTAAAGGGAGAATTCACTTTTGAAGACTATAGCCTTTCCACTCTATTTTTAAATCTTTATTGCATCTACCTCTGGTATGCCTTAAAATTCTTAAGATCAAAACCTGGGCATTGAATGCAAATCTAGCAGATGTCAGCTGTTTAGAATAAGGCTTTAATAGAAATGTCAGAATGCTACGGCTAACACTGTGTTCTTCCTTCTTCCAGGATAGAATAATCAATTTAGCTGTTGGCAGCGTCACATCATTGCTGCTCATAGTAAGTATTCAAATCAGTATGGCAAACTTACAGCACAATCCTATGCAGAAGTAAGTCCTGTTCAGTTTGATGGTAGATGGGAGCAGGTCCCCAAACCAAGTCATGACACCCCTGGCTTAGAGGTTTCTTGCTGAATGGTCCTCATTGGGTTTTATTTCTAAATGAACTCATCTGCCTGGATCCCTCTGCCATTAGAGATGCAGGTGTCCTCAGGGGCTGGGAGTGTCTTTCGTCAGCTTTGGTTGCTAAGATGGTGGTGGCTGTTCCTGGATAAGGATAGTTCAATCACAGTTGTCCATGCATGGATAAGCTCACAGTTGTGCTACTGCAGTGCACTGCCTGTGGGGCTTCCCTTGGGGCTGGGACAAAGGCTGCAGGTGGTGCAAAAGGCAGCGGCTAACTTGCTTGTGGGGGCAAACTATGCCACCACAGGACGCCTCGCTTGCAGGATTAGCGCTAGCTGCCTATCTGCTACTGGGTCCCATTCAAGGTGTTGGTGTCAACATAGGAAGCCCCATACAGCTCAGCACCAAGTGACTTGAGAGGCTGCCTTCTACGGGAATGTTTCTCCTACAAGTCCCAAAGGTCTCAGCAGCCCATTTTGCACTATCCCAAGGCAGAGCTTTCAGCATGGCTGTTCTGTGGAATAATCATACCTGTTGAGATAGAACAAGTGCCCACTTCCTGCACTTTCTGGAAACAGTTGAAAGACATTTTAGTTCCAAGCAGATTTCCCAGCTGGAAGAAGGGGTCCTGGCTTTCAGAAGCTCCTAGCCACCTTTCCCCCAGCCCTGCTGCTTCGGAGCCTTTTAACTTGACATGCTGATGGGAAGCATGCACTCTATGGCTTCTCAACCAAGATCTCGAGAGGGAAATTTCTCTTTGCATCATGACCTGTCATAAAACTTTCGTCAGCTCTCATCTCAACTCCACAATATAAACAACCCCATATGCCTGGGCTTTTCCTCAAGGGGAGATGTTCCCACCCCTTGCTCATTTTAGTTATATATTTCAAAGCTCCTCGTAGCTTAAGCATCACTGTAACACCCTTTCAGTATTTGCTAAGACCCATGTAAAAAGATGTTTTAGCATTGGTACAAAAGAGACATCCACATAAATGTTAGTCTTTTACAACCAAAACCTATGAACTGTCCAAATGAGTGTTCCCTTCCTGAGCCAGTGGAGTTACTTGCTTCAAGTATGTGCCCTTAAAAATAGTCAAAGCATGAAAATGTTATTTGGTGTGGCACAAATGCACTGCAGCCACAACCCTTGGTGGGCTTCCAATTTCTGCGTTCCTTAAGTGAGCCAGATGGTCAGGCAAAGGCAGTGTGCTAACTGCAGCACAGACACCCTGAATTTCCAAGGAATCCAGCGTGCAGCTGGGGCTTGACGGTCTGAAGTGGAGAAATCCTGTTGTGTGTGTGGTCTGGCAACACCAGCTAAAGTTTGCTGAGCTGGTGAGGTTCTCCTGCCCCCCGTTGAGGAATGAGCGGAAAGGAGCTCCCTGTTGTAGAAGCCTTGCTCAAAAACTCTGCAAGCTGCTGAACCAGTCAGCATTTGCCTGGCTTGTAAACCAGCACTCACGTTGTTGCCTACTTGGAGTAAGAATTGCCCTCTGAAGGAACGGGGGCGGAGGCTGGATCTCCCCCCCCCCCACTCCCATTTTAACCAAATGACCAACATAATTAAGCCTTGACCAGTCGTTTGTGTAGACATTGGAAAGCAGCATTAAGTTTTTTTGTCATCTGCTTGTAAGCCTTTGCGGAGTAGGATGGCATGCAAATTTACATGGAAATAAATGGAGCACCACCATGGTCCTCTTCAAAGGAACAGGGGCAGTTCCTGACTACAACTGGTGTGATGCTGTTTAAACAGAGGCGTGAGATGGGTTGGGCTGCATTGCATGGAAATGTAATAGGGATTCCTCGCTAGGCAATGCATCAGAACTGTGTTTCATATTCGGTGTGAGAAGTAATAGCTGTGCCCTCCCATTCTTTCCTCTAGGTCACTCTAATCAGTGCTTTTGTCTTTCCTCAACTACCTCCAAAACCGGTGAATATATTTTTTGCTTTCTGCATCTCCTTGTGTAGTGTTTCGGCTGGCATTCTTGTAAGTATTGTGACACTTGCTATGCTAAGACTAAATGGACCTGCTCAAACTGGGGGGAGGGGAGAGCAGCACCCCAAAGCCCAAGAAGGCACACAAGGGAGATGCACAGTAGTTTGTGGATTCCTCTTTGGTATATGCATGGCTAAGCAACGTGGCATCTGAGCCACAATGGAAGCTTGCTTCTTTCCATAGGGAGAAAAAGCAGTTGTTTTAGGAAATGTTGAACATGTCTATGGGGTGGGTGTTTGGAATGGGGAGGGGTTCTTTTAAGGGCCTAATTCATTAGAAAGTTGTCTACAAACTCCCATGGAAATGAGAAGAGCTGCCCTGGATTGATGCATAAATTGTAGAGTGATGGATAACACCGGGGGGGGGGGGGAGTGACCTATTTTGTGTGTTGAATATCATGATCTAAATCCCATTGGAGAAGCAAATTAGCATCTGCCGGTATCTGCTCCCATACTTGATGTTTTAATTTATGTGGAAGGAGCAGCGTCTTTTGGAAAAATAAAAATGACTGCCTGTTTTTACTAAAATGAGCCTAGTACAACATGGTACTTGCTTTGCCACAGAATTTGTAGGTGAAGGAGTGTCTTAACCTTTAGTTGTGCCTGCTTGAAATACTCATCTAACTAGTTTTTCCCCTCTCCTCAGATCTACTGGTATCGACAAGGAGACCTCGAGCCCAAATTTAGGAATCTAATTTACTATATCTTGTTTTCGATTATTATGTTGTGTATATGTGCCAATCTCTACTTCCATGAAGTGGGGAAATGACTCTTTGAGGGCATATCCTAAGGATTCTGGGCAACACCGTAGGAAATGCTTTCGGAATGGATTACTACCCCAGGCGAAGGCTTCATCTGAGCAAGCATCAAATGGGGACTTGCGTTTGCCATCTGCCATGACAGCTTTGTTTTTTGGGGGAGGGATAAACAGCTACCAGTGCACTTAATGAACATTCCAACTCTACACATTTTTCAGAATGGCACGAAATTTTTTCCTTGCAGGAAAAATTCATTTTTTTATTACACTGTACAAAAACTGCAGCACTGCAAATGTCTGTACTACAGTATAAATAAAAAGGCATCCTACTGTTACAGAAGACAAATAGGTTATTGTTTGTATTAAATTGAACAGTTATTTCTGCTGCCTCCCTAAGCAACCAACTGTTTTGTAAACTACTGTCATTTTTCACATGAACAGAGAAAGTCACAGACTAAAGACAAATCGACTTCTGAGGAAGCTAATTACAGCAATAAATATTGTTTTTCTACATATCTTTGTAGTGTTGAGTCATGTTTCCTACCCAAGTTGGACTCTAAGTTCCACTTAGTGTCTCCTTTTACAGCCCTCGCATGGGGGCAGGGATAAAAACCCAGCAGCCATCACTGAACTTGTGAGACAGGATAGTCCAGACAGCACTGACCTCCCACACTTGCAGTGATGAATTCAATTGTGAAGGTGGTTTTGACTTCTAGAGCAGAGTTCAGAATAAGCACTGAAAGGGCTTTAAGTTCATTGCAGGGGTCAGGGTGGGAGTAAACAGTCTCAGGCGTCCTTTTCTCCTATACTTGTGGGGAACGGATTCGGTGCATTTGATCATTCTGGGGCTACTTCATCCATCGCCAGCAACAGATAATTCTTTTATAACCTCCTAAAGTCTAGTATTCTCAGACTAGTAGTGTTTCCATATGAAATGCACTAGAAGTAACAGTAAAGCACTGGAAAAATAGAACTTTCCTGCCACTCCTTGTTTCCTGCACTGAGGCTCTATTTTGTCCTGTTGATGCTCAAGAGCTGCTCTCTTTGCTTGCAAGACTTGCTTGTTACTGCACTATTAACCTAGAGCATCCAACTCTCTTCTTGCCAGAATCTGGTTCCAGGCTCAAGAGGAACAACCTAAGAAGCAAAAAACCTTTGATCAGCTGTGGCCACAACTTCTTTAAACCTCTTCTTTGCCCAGAAAGGTGGGCTGAAGCTGTTTCAGCAAATGCTTTTCTTTCTTTGGAAACGGTGGTTCAGCACTCGGTTCTTTTTATTTTTTGCAGCACTGTGGGATGTGCTCAGTGGCAGCTCACTAAATCTTCAACATCCTTGGAGTCTTCAGAACCAGGGCTATCCAAAGAGGAGCCAATGATATGGGAGTTCTCTCCATGGTGTTGCAATATAGGATCTGTAATGAAAAAATGGTTGTGAAAAACAAACATTCTAAAAGAGATACAGTGGTACCTTGGTTTAAGAACAGCTAAGTTTATGAAGAATGCTGAAAACCCAGAAGTAGGTGTTTTGGTTTGTGAACTTTGCCCTGGAATAACAACATGTTTCACTTCCTGTTGAGTGTGTTCCATTTGTAAATTGAGTCCCCCGCTGCTATGGGAAAGCACGCCTTGGTTTAAGAATGGACTTCTGGAATGGATTGAGTTCGTAAACTAAGGTACCACTGTACATGCAGGTTCTGCTTACCGAACACACTGTGTTCCCTGGAAATCATTCATTATGTGAACATTTGCATAACAATTTCCATTCTATTCATTCCCATGGGGAGCATTTCTGTGATCTCTCCTGCCTCCCACCCTGGTTTCTGCCCCAAAATGGATGTGGCCGACCAGCAAAGCACAAGTAAAGAAGTAGACAAACTCTGGCTGTTTGGGGATCTGAATCAGTGGCATGTGCAGCGAGGTTTCAGCATAATTCTTTTTGTTGCTTTATTCACATCAATATAGTCTTAGTGGCTCTGGAAAGTCCCCTTGTGACTTTCCAGAAATGTTTTGCTCAAAGCCCGACTGCCATTGCAGGTGTGATCCTACTGCTCTTGGTAAGCTAGTTGAGTCTCACAGGAAGAAGCTTGGGGCTTGGGCTCTCTTTCCTTTCTCCCTCCCTAGGAATGATGGAAAGCTGCTTTAGAACTAAGCACAGTTCCTCAGCTGTATGAGCAGAGGAAAAAGCCACAGTTCCACAACTAGTTAGTAAGGAATCCTAGTCAAACCACGGTTTGATAGCCTCGTTTATTTCAACTAGCAATAGTTAGAAGAAGTTAAAATCGCCCCCATCCAGACATGGGGAAAATGCACTTGGTTCTAACCTGGGAGATTTCAGAATCTCTTGTATGACATGGTCAGAGAGGGCAGCATATAATCCAGAGGGCTGGACAGGCTTGTTCCTATAATGGGAAACTGGTCCAGTTACATTGGGCTTCTCACAAGAATCACTCAGAAACAGCATTGCTGCACACACAGGAAATTTGTACTTTTTTTAAAAAAGGCTGCTGTTACCTGTTAGTGTTGTTAGGGGCAAAACGGATTCGCTGTCTATGTCGTCTGATGTCTGGATAAAGCCATGGGGCGAAGGTACAATGAGGACGGTGTCATCCATGGGAGACGCCTCAACTTCTTCTGTCGTTGGAGAACTAAGATCCTGTGTGAAAACCAGCATTTTTCAACTAGTGTTTACAGAACAGAAACATGCTTTTTTTTTAAAAAGAAAGTCCACAATAAATAGCAAATAAATGAAGTGCTGTGCAAAACTGCTTGCTTTGAATGAACCATTGTGGGTGGAGGATGGCAATTTTTTAACAGCAAAATGCTTTGTCTCTTAGTTGTGAACTGTGGCAGAGCAATTACTAGATTTATTTGCAAGGATGACTGAGGACTTACTTACAAAGTAGACTGAAGACGACCTCCCAGTGCATCCATCACCTATCTCACCCGGAATAAAAGTGCCAGGGCTTAAGTAACAATGATCTGTAAGAGCTAAACTAAAGCAGATGGAAGCTGAAAGCAAAGGGGTTGGTGGAGAGGGGGGAGAGAGGGGGATTGGGACAGTGGCAGTGGAGGACAGGAGACTAGTTCTCCCCACTCCAATGCCATTTCCCCAGTGAAAAGAGAGCTTTCAAGGGCAGGTTTGTTTAGTTTACTTCTGAGTGTTTTTAACAGCCACAAGCCACCAGGAGAATTGCTGGTTTCTTTTAACCGCCAGGAAGAGTTAGGAAATGGATTCACTGAAGAGCTGCCTTATACGAAGTTGGACCATCGGTCCACGTAAACCACAATTCCAGTTCAACCAGTAATATCCCCCAGGCAGGCATCTCACTCCATGTTGCTACTTGATGACATTTTAACCTCAGATGCAGGGGCTGAACAAAGCATATTTTAGAGTTATATCATCCCACTTCTCAAGTTGCTCAGAGGTGCTGACATTTCATTCCCTGCTCCCTACACATATGTACTTGAACCAGGATCATGTGTGTTCATGACCATTCTCACACATGTTCTCATCACTGAACGTTTGGCACTTCTCTCACTTTTGTCTGAAGCAATGAGGAACACAGGAGCCAAGAATGCACCACCTTAAGATGATCTCCCCTCCGAGAAATGCATAAGCAACTTGTACAAATTGGCCAAAAGCAATTCTGAATGTTTCTTGCGGCCCTTTCACGCAAACTCCATTTGCAAACTTGGGTGTTTTCCATGGAGTACGCATTCCACGGGAAGCTGCAGTCAGTTCTCAGATGATAATAATAATAATAATAATAATAATAATAATAATAATAATAATTTATTTATACCCCGCCCTCCCCAGCCAAGGCCGGGCTCAGAGCGGCTTACAAGCAATAATAAAAACAAGATGAATGATTACAACTTAAAAAATAAAACACAACATTAAAATAATGGAACATTAAAATATTAAAATGTAGCCTCATTGCAGGAGGAGAAGGAAAAGAAAAAAGAAAGAGAGGGAGGGAGGGAATCAAATTGGCTCCAAGCCAAAGGCCAGGCGGAACAACTCTGCCTTACAGGCCCTGCGGAAAGAAATCAGATCCTGCAGGGCCCTGGTCTCATGAGGCAGAGCGTTCCACCAGGCTGGAGCCAGAGTTGAAAAGGCCCTGGCTCTGGTTGAAGCCAATCTAACTTCCTTAGGGCCTGGGACCACTAGGGTGTTGCTATTTATGGACCTTGAGGCTCTCCGTGGGGCATACCGGGAGAGGCAGTCCCGTAGGTACGAGGGTCCTAGGCCGTGAAGGGCTTTAAAGGTCAAAAGCAGCACCTTAAATCTGACCCTGTACTCCACCGGGAGCCAGTGCAGCTGGAAAAGCACTGGGTGAATATGCTCCCATGGCAGAGACCCCGTGAGGAGCATCGCTGCAGCATTCTGCACCCGCTGGAGTTTCTGGGACAGCTTCAAGGGCAGCCCCGCGTAGAGCGAATTACAGTAGTCAAGCCTGGAGATGACCGTCGCATGGATCACTGTGGCCAGGTCGGGGCGGGAAAGGTAAGGGACCAACTGCTTGATGCGACGAAGGTGGAAAAATGTCGCCTTGGCTGTTGCTGTAACTTGCGCCTCCATGGAAAGGGAGGCGTCAAGGATTACACCCAAACTCTTAACGGAAGGCAATGGCACTTCCGATGAGCGTACCAGCACAAAGCAGGTTTGTTTAACATGGTTAAAGTATCAAAGATGAATTGCATGAAGTTGCACTTGCTGAGCCTCAAAAACAACTGCTACAGATCCAGCCACGTGCCAAATCCCCATGCTGCTAAGTCCTGCTTTCCTTACCTCAGAAACGTAGGTGCCAGCTAAGTCAGACCGACAATCCTCTTCACACTTGATATCCGTGTGCAAAATCTCTCCTCCGTCTCTCGCCATGACCCTGTCAATGAGTTCACTGCTACTCCTGCCACCAAATTTGGAGGAGTCGTCTTCGCTATATGCAGACTGCTCTTCCACAGCCAGCTTGGGTTGATGGATGTCCTCTGGAAAGGCGTCTGCTTCCAGAGCCGTTGGAGGGTCCACCAGATTAACTGGCTGAATGTCTGAATCAACAGCAAGTTCTGCCTGGGTTACGGAGGGAGAAATCTCTTCTGCTGCAACAGTGCGGATTATGACACTTGGTGCATGGCACTGTACCGTGACATTGTCACCGGTGTTCAGCAAGTGTTCTGGCTGTGAGAAATGGCCACAAAATTGATAAGTGCCACATAATGTTGTGACTGACTTCATTATGCCCCTTCAGCAATGGTGAAAGGGGACCAACTATGCATTTTATTTTAAATTATTCTATACATACATCGTAACATTGCACACAAAATTACCCATTCTTCACAATTTACTAAATCACATAAAAAACTTGACATCTTCTCTATTTTCCTGAAAAGGTATGTTCAAATACTCAACAAATAAGCTTTACATTAAGTTTTTTCTATTAGCCAAATTGCACTAACAGTGGGAGTTTTACAATGTGCTCCAGCCTTTTGGCTCTGGGCCTTGTAACTCCCTCCCCTCTCCCAATTATAAGCTTTTTAAATCCAAGAAGAACCTTGCTGAATGAGACCAAAGCCCTTTCTAGTCTATTGATCTTGGGCGGCCCCTGTGAGAGCAGGATGTGGGATGAGAGGAGCTACTGGCTGGAACCAGCAGGCGGTTCAAAGGCTTCTATGTTATGCTCTTATAAACCTGCCTTATCACAGACGTTCATATTTGGGGCTTTAAAAACATGAATTTAGTAATGTTCCAATCTTATTATTTCAATGTATATTGATTGGTTTTTCTCACCCCCCTTGATCATTATATTTTATGAAATAGTGAGAAGTAATGCCAGACATCAATAAACAAAATCTGAGAGATGAGCACCTACTACTGTGCATTTATTGTGATCATGAAGGGTGGGGAAGGCACAGCCCTGACTTCCTTGGGAGAGACGGGTCTGTCAGAGGAAAAGCTTCAGAAATAGATGAGAAGGGTTGGGATCAACCAGGCACCTCAGGAGTGGCACGCTGGCATTGGTTTGGGTGGGACACCTGAGAGATACTGAGGGGCCATCGCTGCTCCAAAGGCTGTAGAACTCACCCCAAGGGTCAGTCTGAGGCTCTGTCCATTCAGGCCACAACTCTGATGCTGCTGAATGCAACCTGTGTGCACAATGCCCTTCCCACAGTCCATCAAGCTGAACCCCAAGGTATGATGGGCACCATTTTAAGATTTGACTTCCCATAAATCATTGTCCCTTGTCACAACTAGCACAACTAACACTGCAGAGGATTTTCACTGGAGAAAATACATTCAAGTCAAAACTGTTCTGCACTGGTGTTTTCGTTTGATGCAGCACAGCTGCTCCAGCTGACTAGCAGCAACTCCAAGCCCCCCCCCCGCCCTTTATCGCTCCAGTTTCTCCTTCGAGACACCTACGGATAAGGCGTGGACGATGATCTGGTCTGGTGAGGCTGGTGCCGTGGCAGCTGTGAGGGTCACTGTTGGGCTGGTGGTCAGTGTCAAAGGCAAGCCTTGGGTGGAGCTTGTCTGGAGTAAGTACGTGCCTGGAGTCCCCGTGGGCTGCAGATGGAAAGACTCAAGAGAAGAAGGAAGAAGATCAATGGGAGGGTGCTCTGCAACTGACTCATGAAGGACATTGACTCTGAGGAAGTCAGACTCAAAACGTAAACTGTGTTCCTAAATGCAGCAGAACTGAAATAACCCTAGAAATGTAGGACAACTGCCCCCCCATGTCCTTCCTTTCTCCCCACAAGGAGAATGTCCATATCCTGGAGAACAAGGCAGTGCCTGCGGTCACCCATGTTATCCCCAGAGCCATCCTGTGAGATAGGCTTGGTTCAGGGACTATCCCAGGGGCACCCAGTGACTTCATGGTCAGGGAGGAATTTCAACCTGGTCTCCCGAGTTCCAGTCCAACCCTCTTCAATAGACTACATGCCTCTGAAATGGAAGTGTTCCATCTACTGCACAGAAAGGCAAGTCCCTCCTTGCTTTGAAATGTGCCAGGCTCTCTGGAATTTGACCATTGGCATCTACCAGTTAACCCAGCTAGCTGGGATAAGAGGTATGAAGGATGCCCATTTCCTATTGATTTATCTTGTCAGACAGCTGGGGTTGAGACTCCTGCATAAGATACATTCTCTTAAAGGAGGAGAAGAGGGAGCACCATCATTTTTCTTACACAGGGACAGGTGGACTTCAGGCTTGTATGGCCTTTAAAACAACAACAACAACAACAACTAATATCTTAGTGGTCTACTAATACATTTTACATTTCAAAAAGAAAGATGTGCATAATTAGGACCTCTTAATGTTAAGTCATAACATTAAGACATCTTTTGTTTCATGATTCCAAGAACTGAGAACATAAGAAGCACCTTTCTGGACCAGACCAAACTCCAGAGTGATCCAACACTCTCCCATGAGAATCCCAATAGCCCTGCAGAAACCAGGTGCTCCATAAGAGACTGGCCAGTCGTCCAGCCATAGGGATGGCAATCCTACTTTTCAGAGTGCTCCTGATTCTTCCTCTGAAGTTTGACTTGCCTGCCCAAAGTGGCCAGTGGAGGGCTGGCTGGATCCAGTTACCCATCCCTGGTGCATGCAGATAATGTGACACCATAAAGTAAGTTGTTTTGCATGATTTTAAAGCTTCCAGTTATATTATGCTGCAATATTCTGCTAACTGAACCTCACACATTTTATAATACTTTATGTAGCCATAAGGACACCATTGAGATGCTCCTTACCTCAAACTTTAGTCTGAAAAACACAAAAGATCAAACCAGGTAGGTGTGGAATCTGTAGAACTTACTGGCAGGATCTCAAAGGTCTGCAGTGTCCCACTATTTAGAGTTATCGTCTCAGAGTCAACAGAAGCAGCAGGGGAATCTGCAGAAGCTATGGGAGTAAGAGGGAGAAACATACCCTTTTTATTATTTATTTATGAATGAATGAATGAATGAATGAATGAATAATATATATAGAGAGAGAGAGAGAGAGAGAGCCCTAGGTGTATTTAACTGATAGACAATCACATAATTTAGTATTGAAAGACAAAAGCTACAGTGGACTGCCAGGACAACGAAGCAGTTAGTGGGCATCTTAACAGTTTGTTTGCCATAAATAAGCCTCTCTAAGTGTTGTGATCCTTCAGCTGGAAACACTAATTTTTTTACTACTAATTACATTGGGAAAACAGTTGATAAATATACATAGGATAACTACACAGAGATTACCGTATTTTTTGCTCTATAAGACTCACTTTTCCCCTCCTAAAAAGTAAAGGGAAATGTGTGTGCGTCTTATGGAGCGAATGCAGGCTGCGCAGCTATCCCAGAAGCCAGAACAGCAAGAGGGATTGCTGCTTTCACTGCGCAGCAATCCCTCTTGCTGTTCTGGCTTAATTAAAACTTAAAACAAGCATTTTCAACACAAACACCCCCCACCCCCGGCAGGCTCTCATGGTGGGTGTCACCAAATCCATGTGAGCAGCTGTGTGTGAACATCTCACGGCTCACTCTCACTGTGGGGTCATCTGAAGTGGCCCAAAGAGGCCCCCAACTCCTGAATGGTTTTGGTCTGCTGCTCAACACGGAGAGGAGGTATCACTACTTAAACACGAGTAGCATACTAAGAAATACAGATATCAAATCTCATTGCCATGGAAAAAAGCAGGGGCATGTGTATCAATACATGAACTGTGTGGGAAAAGGATGCCTTCCTTGTTTATGATTCTCTTCCTCCACACTGCTCTGAGCAGCTTATGTATGGTTCAGAGACAAGGCCAAATCTGCTTTGTTTCAGTAGAGGAAATCACTCTGGCGTCTTCAGGCTATTTTGTGAGCAGCAGCAACAGTCTGCCTTTGTTCAGCCTGCAGGAATGCGGGTGAAGTAGCTGGCCTTCAACCTCAATTTTCTGCATTCTTCCAAAGGTGCTGGCTGCATGCACTGTCCTCTACTGGATGAAATCTTCAGTGCTTAAATAGATTATATCCAATATAATGTGCTGTGCAGCAGCTATAAAACAATCAGGTGCTTTAGTACTTTCTGTATGTTCACTTTTTACATTAGCTGCCTGGAAAGAGGGCAGGATATCGACGTCGTTGTCGCCCCCCCCCCAATTTAATAAATAAATGAAATGACTGGCAGTGCTGCATTTGCTGCCCTCCTTTGCCTTCTTCCCGTATCACTCTTAGAATCCCCTGCAGCTTTATCCCAAAGGGTGGGGTGGGTAGGGTACAACCCCCCCACTAGCAACCCCCACGGTCTTAGAAGCTACCAGCGTGGCATAACATAGCCACGAAATCTACTGCCTTCCTTACCAGGAGCAGACAGAGGGCAGCACTAACCACAGCAAACCAAAGGCCATTTCCTTTTCCTCCCTGAACGCAAGAAGCCTGCCCAACTTTTCACATTCTCATGGCTATAGTTATGGTTACCCATATTCACTGCTTGCGCCACGTGAATGGCGATGGCGCATAAACCATGATGTACATACTGTGTTCTGTCTTTGCTGCATATGCATGTTATGTATGGGGTAGCCTACAGGCCAACTTCTTGCCAGACCAAAGAGAGATCCTCTTCTCTCTGAAAATCAGGAAACCCCTTGATTTGAGGAAGGGCAATGATCGGAGGGAGGAGGAGCAAGTGAGGGATCAGAGGGACTTACAGACATGGGTAATCTGAACTGGAATCTGCAAAGCTGCCATGGGGCTCGGAGAATTGCCTGAATTCTCATCCAAGCGAGCCACTCGAATCTGCACGTGCTGAACCCCAGAACTGGAATGAGCATTTGGCAACCCAGGTACAGGTTTCGTCTCTGAAAGCTGGTGCCCTGCAGCGTTCGTCTGGCTTTCGTGAAGCTGTTTCAGACCTTTTATAAGAACTGAAATGGGGAAACAAAAGGGTCACTCGGAATGTTACTAGACGCAAAAGACAGAGAGAAGTGTTTGGAATAAAGCTGTGTGTATGACAAGAGTTCAAACCTCAGGAGAACTTTATTAAAACTTATTCCCCTCCAAAAAAACCTCTTGAGTAAAGAGCTTCGTGCATCAGGCAAATCAAAATGAAAAAGACCTAGTCTTCCTAATGTCAGAGGCAAGCACACCTATCAGTCTGCCCACATCCTCTTCCTGAACTGTTTGCAAATAAGATGGGGAACCTTGCTTCAGAAGACTCTCGCCGCTGCAAAACTAGACGGGGATCCCATCTTTGGCTTTACTGGGGAAAGGGGAAGGAGGAGGGTCACTCACTTTTAGGAACGGGCAGGGCTGGGTATGCAAGCCAACTCCATTCTCTTCTTTCTCTTTCTCCTCTTCATGCCCACTCAGTCACTCACCCACAGAGGGGTCCAACATTTGTCATACTCCCAAGTACACCCACTGAAAGTTAGATGTCCCTCAATAGCTATTTATGTATTTAAATTTGTTATTTGCCTTATTTTAATTACTTTGTATGTATGCATGAGTGTGTGTTCATGTGCTATTTTTAAGGAAACAAACTTTATGAAAATGTATACATGCAATATTCATTTAAATATGGAGAAGTTTAACAAACACAAAAACCTCAAAACACTACAATCTCAGTCCTAGATGTCAAGAGCCAGCCTAAAATAAAGATTTCACTTTATGCCTTTGCTTTTTCAAAGTTTTTAGTTGCATTTTGTAACCCATGTCAGGACCACTGAAACTGGAGAAAAAAAAAACCAAATGAGTCAACACAGGAATTAATAAAAAAATATTAATACCTTATCTTAGAAAACAAGGATGGCTGGGGAGATAACTTCACAAAACAGCCTTAGGACAACTGCTAAAGCTGTTACTCAAAGCTCCTATCTGTCTAGTCCTCAAGACGCTTCTGTTGTTACCGTTTCCTGCATGAAGTCTTCGCCTCCTACATCTATTAGTAGCAGCAATCCTAGAGGAAGAACCTCTACAAAAGCTGAAGGTTTGAATCTCACCTTTGTAATGAACTCTAAGAAAAATGTAGCCTCCAATCTGAAAATTTGGGGAGAATAATGAACTACCTCAAAAGGCTGTGGAAAGGATTACAAGATATGGAAATCAGGTGGAGCACTCTTAAGGGCTATGCAAGCGCTGTTATTTCCTACTCTCTTCTACCCTCCCAGCAAACAAACAGCGAGCAGAGAAGGTAACCCTTTAATACTTTACCAGGAAACGAAACCTCTTTGTGGTTTGCGATCTGCCTTTTGATCGTCCACCATTTACTACGAAGCCACTGGGGTGAGCGCACACTGCTCCATCCTTCGGCCAGCAGATCCCAGTTGATATCATTTTCATCAGATACTTCTAGCTCTGCTATTCTGACAGGATTACATGGGAAAGAAGTGTGTGTTAGAGAAGACAGCTTCCACCGCAGAGGGAATGTTATGTAGCTCCTGCTTTAATCAGATTTAGTAAGACTGCACAGCAACGAGTGATTCCTGTTGGACTGTGGTCAACATCACAGAAGCCTCCTTTTGGGCAGTGTCACTGGAGGCCCAAAGCCTGAAAAGGCTGAGGGAGTGAATGGCTTAAACCCAGACAAGAGCCTCTCCAGCATTCCGTCCTGCAGTGGCAAACCAGGCTTCTCGGAAGTCCACAAGCAGAGTCTGAGGGTAATAACACACACTCTCTCTCTCTCACACACACACAGATTTGATCTCCTGCATCTAGTATTCAGGGGCAGGCTACCTCTAAGTCTGAAGGTAGCAGCATATAACCATCATGACTAGTAACTATAGGCAGCCTTAGTGTCCAAGGATTTCTCTTCTCCTCTCAAAGCTTACATTGTCAGCTGCCTGCAGTGTAACTGCCCAGTGTGGTGAAGCAGAAAAACCTTGGAGGATTTAAAGCAGAGACTGGGCGACCATCTGTCATGGATGCTCTTGCTGAGATTCCTGCATTGCAGGGGGTTGGACTAGATGACCCTTGGTGCCCCTTCCAAATCAATGATTCTATAATTTCAATCTTTATACTTTCATAGCAAGAAGATTAAAGTATCTGGGAACAAGGAATGCAGCGGCCATTGTTAAAGAGTTGCCTAAGGTATTAAATCAAAGTGACAGAGATGTTGATTTTGTCTTTTTAAATTCCCCCCAGCCCTGCTGCCCCATCCCTGGATGTGCTTTCCAAGAAAATGGAACAACCTCAGGATTAGGTTTATTTCATCTTCTTTAGTCCACTCGGTGCCTCCACTTTGTTTCCAGTTTAGGTAGTTGAGCCATTTGGAACGGCACTGCTTCTCAGACCGCGTCCCGACTCGCTCTGCCACAGCAGCCCAAGACACTCCTTGCGTGACAATGTCCCCAGGCTCTGTGCTGGTTAATTCATGTACCACTTCTGCCAGTCTCTTTTCTTCTTCTTCTGTCCACTTCCCTGAAGGGGGGAAAAAGTAGGGAACAATACATGGCAATGAAAAGCACAGTTTCCCTTAAAAATAAAAAATTAGATGTATATATGGCCTATCCTTCAAGCTCAAAGTGGCATGCAGACGACTCTCCCCATTTTATCCTCACAACCATCCTGTGATGTACATTATGCTGAGAAACAGTCACTATCCCAAGGTTACCCAGTGAGCTTTACAGCTCCTTGGGGATCTGAACAAGCGTCTCCCAGACCCTAATCCTGCACTCTAACCACTACACCACACTGGCTTGGGTCCTTTTTTTCTTATCTATCTCTGTTTGACTCCAGCAATCCCTCTACACCTTCAGGTTCTTAAACTGCTCTGACCTCTCCCATGGCCTATTCGAGAGAAATGTGCTTTTAGAAGCCTGGTAATGGACTGGAGGCTCCCTGTATCACATCTACAATTTAGCCAACCTTCTATAGAGGTATATTTGTTGTAGCATTTGCAAACATGCAAAAGGTTCTTTCAACATTTTAAGAATGGGCAGTAAAGGGGCAGAAGAAGTTTAGTACAAGAACCAATATATGTGCATTGAAAAGTGTAAAGTCCTAAATTATATGTGCTGTTTGTCTCTGAATTAGGGCCAGAGCCATTACCGCCAAGGGTGTTTCAAACCACAGAGGAAGCTCACGGGATATGGGTGATTCCCACACAAACGCTGGTGGACTTGGGGAAGAATATGCACTAGATGCTGCTACCCAGAGTCCCTGAAACAGGCACATCTTTCCCTTCTTCAGGGAGGAAGGACAGGATATAAATTAAATAAACAATTTCCTCTCCAATAGTTTGAATCAATTATTTAGCTATTTAGTAATGACAGAACAAATTTCTAAAGCAATCCTGAGATGTACAGTCTTGAAGATTATGAGATACACTTTCTGCAAGTCAATTGTGCATCCATTGGGAATGCCAATTGTTGCAATACTTGTACCTGTATTGCAGGTGTCCTTCATCAGCCTGCATCGGTCTTTTACTGAAGAAGCACTTCTTCCGAGGGCAGCTCCAATAGTCGCCCAGTCATTGCCGTGCTTTATCCGTAGCCTAAACGGAACAAGTGTATTCAGCATGGTGTGCAAAGCATTTCAGTTGTATATATTTATTGGTTTATGTCCTACCCATCCTCTATAGGAGCCCAGGGGGTGGGGATGCTAACTATATATAAATATAACCCACTTAAAATAATTAAGAATCAGGGTGTTTCCAGATGGGGGCTTATTCTGGCTAATGGTTTGTTCAGTTTTAGGTTTTTGATGAGCATGCTGGTAGAACAGCACAAAATAAAAAATAAAATCACATTCTTAAAACAAGCACAAATCTGTAGATCAAATGAATACATCAACATAGCCAGATCACCCCTCAAGGAATGGCTGGGTATAGGGGGCCTATTTAGCAATCCCATTTAAACAACCACCTCTACATCTCAAACTGTCTGTAATGATCAAATAATTGATTACTTCATATTTTATCTTTAACCTGCTTTGGAATTCTGTTCTCTGACAACACATACAGACATCAAACCATTCTGGGGACATTGAAATGCTGCACTCACAGTAGCCTAAGAACGACATAGAATAGTGCTTAAGGACATGTGAATCCCTGCACTCCACAGTGAGTTTACTCTGAAGCCTCACAGGACACCCTGTGAGGTCTAGAACCCAAAGCTTGCATTAAACTCCTTTTTTGGAGAAGGGAAGTTGAACATATTTTCAGCCAACCATCACTGTATTTATTGCATGTGAGCATACAGAATCTTACCCTTAGTTCTGTATTATTGTATTTCACAACTGAGTGCATTGCTGCATTTCATTTTGAAATGACTAGCTGGTCATGTCCTTTGACTACTGCTTTGGAATCTGTAGCATTGAAGGGTTTTCCTCCCATTAAATTTTGAATAAAGACCATTGCATCTGGTAATGCAGCCAAAGATAATAGGTACCAATTTCAAAGGATGTTAGGGTTCTTATCGGATACCATGGGGCCTCGATTACACAGGAAGGTGTTCACATGTCCTTAAGCACTATTCTATGTCGTTCTTAGGCCACTGCTACTAGCAAGGAATGGGGAAAGAAAGAGACACTGGAGATGTAGTGTGAAATCGCAGAGAGCGCCAAAAGCTGTGCAAGAGATCAATGAAGCACTTGCAGCTTAGTTATTTGCTCCACACAAAAAAGAGAGCCTGTCCTGAAAGCTTAATGCAATTGCAAAAAGGACTTGGGAATGCTCACTTTGAATGCCCAGTCCTGTTATTCCTTGCCTGTGTCTTCCCCTTCCGCAAACTACACTGTGGCTCCTCTTAAAAGAAGCTGGTGCTTGGCAAATGGTAACCTAAGGAGCCTGAGTAAATTCATGGGCCTTTGGCTGCCAACTGCACACAACTTTGGGGAAAGAGAACTGAAGGTTCTTCCAAACTGTTCACAAAACACTGATTAATGCAAAATAAAACTTACTCCTTGAGCTTTTCAATTTCATCAGGAGTGTACCTGTGAAATATACAAACAGCACATTTAATTAATAGACACATAGAATTTCCTTCAGTTTCTTGAATTCCCCTCATTAGGACTCAGCACAGCACACAATATGTAACATTATTCATAAAGGCAAATATAATTGCAACTTTCAGAATAAAGTAGAATTTCAAAGTGCAATATGCCACACTGGATTGCTACCAACACTAACCTGATGTTAAGGCACAGAAGAGAAAGCAATTGTTATAGTCTTTGACAAGGTTCTTAAGTTCTGTAGGATTCTCTACCCATAATGAGCAGACATACCAAATGGTCATTAATCTTGCCAATGTATTATTCAAAACTATAGTCACATGTGCCCAGTGTCATGATTAAAGATAAAAATCCATGTATGTGCTTAGATACAGCTTCTGAAGTGAGCAGAAAAATAATGTAACTATTGGTGAAAGGTAAAGGTACCCTTGACCGTTAGGTCCATTTGTGGATGACTCTGGGGTTGTGGCGCTCATCTCGCTTTATTGGACGAGGGAGCCGGCGTACAACCTCCAGGTCATGTGGCCAGCATGACGTAAGTCGCTTCTGGCGAACCAGAGCAGCGCACGGAAACGCTGTTTACCTTCCTGCCGGAGGGGTACCTATTTATCTACTTGCAATTTGACGTGCCTTTGAACTGCTAGGTTGGCAGGAGCAGGGACCGAGCAACGGGAGCTCACCCCATCGCGGGGATTCAAACTGCTGACCTTCTGATCAGCAAGCCCTAGGCTCTGTGGTTTAGACCACATTGTTTCCCCCACCTTGATTCTTCTGGTCCTACATAACATGGTGCTAGGACTTAAAAGGGCCCCCAGGCCATTCTTAACCCTTCTCATACCGTTTGGTCAAATGTTAGGAGGTTTCATACTTGCCAACGTGGTTTCGATCATCATACATGCGAAGTACTCGTCTATAAACAGCAAAGAGAGGCCGGTTCAGACCCCATGCAATAGTCCTGTAGAAATCTTTCCTTTCATCCTTTGACATCTCAAAGATGATTTCAGTGGCATCTTTTATTCCACGTGCCTAGTCACATCAAGATTTGGACGACAAATTTAAGTTTCCCAACATCTTACAATAGATCAAGCCTGATACTTTATTAACAAGCTCTGCAAAACTATGTATTGAATGTTGAAATGACTTTTTATCATTAGCTATTCAAAAATAAATAAATATGACTATAAATGCCCTGTTTCTATTCAAAATTTGGAAAACAAGTTACAATGCATTTAAACTGAAATCAAATTTGGGAAAACATGAACTTTAAAAAAAAAGTGATGAAGGAGATCCCAAGTGAGTGGACTTGTTCTCTTTACGTTTTATAAAAAAAAAGAAAAGGAGAAAGGTTCTGTACCTGTGCTTCATGTTGGTTTTTGTTAACTTGCATATATATGGTCATTTAAGGTTCTAAATGCCCATTTACAAAGATGCTCATATAACTAATATTATTTTTTCAGTACCTGAGCTCAGCAAAGTTAAATATATCAGACCAGTTTGCAAATCATGATAAGCCACAGTTAATGGCTTAACATGAACAAGAAGAACACTTGTCTACATTCATTAACCATGGCTTACTTTAAGGTGCAAAGTGGTGAAAGCCTAAAAAAGAAGTCTGTCTAAACTGGTCGTTAAACAAACTAAGAAAACAGTAAGTAAGGGAAGTTGTTTGCAATGACTATCCCTGGATGCAAGGCTTGGGATATTACAATACAGTGGTACCTCAGGTTAAGAACTTAATTTGTTCTGGAGGTCCGTTCTTAACCTGAAACTGTTCTTAGCCTGAGGTACCACTTTAGCTAATGGGCCTCCCGCTGCCACACAATTTCTGTTCTCATCCTGAAGCAAAGTTCTTAACCTGAGGTACTATTTCTGGGTTAGCGGAGTCTGTAACCTGAAGCGTATGTAACCTGAAGCGTATGTAACCCAAGGTACCACTGTATCCTATCTTAGGATCCACTGGTTTATTACAACCAATAACCCCTTGAACAAACAGAGGACTCTACAGTCACCCATTTATTTATTTAAGATATTTATATACTGCTTGTCAAATGAACCTCACAAAAGTGGTTTACATAAAAACTTTAAAACAAGCCTAAGTTAAAAATGGTAAAAAAGCAAAGAGCTACAAGGTACCAAAATGTTTTTTGAAAGCTACACCTTCCCATTCCTCAAGGCATGATGGTTCTTGGGTAGACAAAACATCTTATCATGGTGAGATTGCAAATACTGATAAAGTGACACAAAGAAAACTGGCTGCATTCTATAAATTGTGGCAGATTAGAATAGAACAAGATCTCTGTTGGATCTCTGTGACAACACTGCAGAAAGTAATAAGAAAATGAAACAACGGAGGAATTAAAAAAGTTGCTTGGAAGAGAACTAAGAGAGTAGAGGCTGCTTGCAGTTCTCCCTCCACATGTTCCTTCTTCTCCTATGGCTGATGATGACCAGCAATTTATTACAATGTTATGCTAAAGCTTTAAAAAGCCTTTTTGAAAAACTTAAATTCTGAGGCAAAGTAGGCCTACTAAAAATATTGTATATCAAAATAATTGTACATTTCTCCCTAATGTGTACTTTCAAAGGACTGAAATGATTCCAAGGCTGTTTGAGGATGCTGTTACAATATTAACATTAATAGCTTGTATCAAGATCCTGCGCAAGTGAAAGGCCCCTTAGCCAATGGCACTTTCCCCATTCGGCTACTGAAACCAGTAGGTTAATTGAATGCATCAAACCTTTAAATAGCGTTCTATGTTGCTCATGAGAATGTCTATTTCTTCTTTCGACCACATTCCCTGCTTCCATTTATGACCTTAGAAAATGGAGAAGACACTATCACGCAAATTGCACATCACTGGAAGTACTCAGCATTAGGAAGATCAGCTAGGTAAGCCAGTGAAGAAATCAGGAAGCAAATTTCCATTACTAGCCAAAGGGAAAAAAGGCTAAACAGGGCAATAAATTAAACAGCATAACCTTCCCCATCATTCTCCAAGCAGGTGCCATGTGGAACAGCATTACATCTGTAGTCCTGATTCCAACAAACACTTATCAACAGGCTTATCACATACACACACAACATCTTCAGAAAAATAAATCCTATATGTAGAGAAAATGGAAGCTTCTAACATCAATGGATTGTGCCTAATGCTTGTAAATAAGAAGCCTCCAACGTTGCCAAACAGCAGCAAAGGAGTAAAAAGACTGAAACCAATGCAACAGAAGGTATAAAATTCCATTTGCTTACGCGAGTCAAATAAAAATCAAATTTAGTATGTTATCCCTGAATGATTATAATGAAGCATATGGCCATTCAGTATCAAAGCAATCCTACAAAAATTCTTGTGTATTTGCCGTATATGATAAATGTTTGTGATGCCCAAGAGTACCTGAAATAAATAAAAAAATTGTCCAGTTGCACCTTAGAGACCAACTAAGTTGGTTCTGGGTATGCCCACGTCAATTGATGTCACATCAAAACGTAACAGACATAGAGATAAGCAGGAGAATGTGAATTTACCTTTGTTTGTTAATGAATCCTTATCCTCTTTGGTTGTAAACCAGGCCTGACTAACTGCCGACACTTCTTCATTGCCTAGAGAAGAGATTTCATCCAGTTGTTCATTCTGGAGAATCTGGGAAAGGTAAAATAAAAAAGGAGATCTCCAAATTGACATTTGCTCTCATGAAGTCCTTAAGAATCATGAATTAAGGATGATGCAGCCACCTCACAAGCACTTACATTCTGAATTATTTCACACTGAAATCCCCACGGATTATGTTGAATCAAACACGCAACCTTAAGCATTACATTTATTCTGCCTGGGATGGGGAACCCTCGGCCCTCCTGATATTGTTGGACAACCACCCTCATCATCCCCAAGATTTAGGCCACACTGGTTAGAGGAAGAAGATGGAGCATGCGGTCTTAGGGTGGGATTCACTTGACGTGTTTCACCCACGGGAGCCCTGGGCAAGGACTTCTGCTGGCCCAGCCTGGCTTTCCCCGCTCGCCCCCTGAAATCGAAGAGCCCCCAGAACAGTGCACGGGGAAGGAGAGGGGCAACTGTTCCATCCGGCATTTTGTAGTTTATCTTATTGCACACCACTTTAGTAGCAGCTGGCTGCTTATAAACCTGCAACTAAATAAATAACGGAGCAGTACCTGGATCTGAGTCACAGTCCCTTCGTTGACCTCATTGTCAGCTACCTCAGTGGTAGCTGTCATAGTCACCTCAAAGCTCTGGTCACTTTCTGAAACTTAAGAATATGCAAAATGTAAAATTAGCACAGCACCTGCATCTCTGTTGCAACCTATGGCATACATTAAGGCTGTAATCCTGTGAGTAAGTCTCACACTGAATATTGTGTGATGTATTTCCGAGTAAGCACGCTTCTGCTTTAAAAATAATCTTATGTAGCAAGATCCTAATATCCCACCAAGACCAGAGGGTCTCATTTTCCCCTCTCCTACATGCAGGGTGAGGTCCGTGCTCCCTAAATGATCTCCCACTGGGGTCATGCCTCCTTGCCAGCTGCTCCTCAAACTACAAGACACTCATTTAATATCCTTGTGCAGCTCACAGACAGAAGTCCAACTACAGACCATTTGTCATCACACATGGGCATCACCCTCTTGCCTTCTTGCCACTTCAATGCCCTATCTGAAACTAACCCCCCCCCCTCACCTGCAGAAGCAAGGCCCATATTCCTACAAGTCCTTTTCTGAACTGGACTCCGGATTGCATTCCTTCAGCCTTCCATTAGCAGTGACCGACTTACTTGGAACGGCAACAACAGAGATGCATGGAGTCGTGTCATCAAGACTCTGGTCATCTTCAGATGATAAGCAAAGCCTTTTATGTGGAGGTTCGACACTGTCTTCGGACTCTACTTCATCTGCCTCTAAACACACACACAGAAAAAAATGCTGTGAATGAAACTTAAAAGGAAAGCTTGCTGAGCACTTCCCCACTGCTTAAATGCTTTTTGCAAGTACGGTACCTTCTATATCAACATTTCCCAACCTGTGGCTTGAAAAATATTCATAGTTTGTTATATATAAAATTGCTTGAGTAACTATGCTTTTAGAATAAATGTTTAAAGCTTCTGAAGCAGGTATCCTGCTGTTAGATGGTATTCTTACATACCTACGAACACAACTGCAAATAACTTTGTAAGTACTATAAATATTTCAATAAATTCCACATTAATAGAGGCATCAAGTATATGTCTGCTTGGATGTCTCAAACAATGCTTCTAAAACAGGCACAAACCTGCAATTAAAATGCATAAAACCAATGGCTGCTAAACACGGAAGACCAAAATTCATGTGACAATAAATGGATGGAACACCACAGCAAATGAATTTGAGCTAGTGGGTCACCATACCCAAAAAAGATGAGAACCGCTGTTCTATATAGCAATGTGACTGAGACTCCGGTGGACAATACTTTAATCAACACTGTACACATCATTAAAATAATTATTTACAACTTTTAAACTCTGAATGAAAAGGGTATACCATTTAGCTGTTCTAAAGAAATAAGGAACAGTTTCTCCTCGCTCCCCCGTGTACTGGTTTGTGGAACTCCAATGGATGTTACACATCACACTATGCACATTAGGTAAGTGAAACAATGAGTTGATATTTAAAAGAAACCCAAATGGAAGCTTTGTTGAAAAGGCCATGCTATACAGTGGTACCTCGGTTTTCAAACAGCTTAGTTCCTGAACAACTTGGAACTCGAATGCTGCAAAAGTCAGTGTTCCGGTTTGTGAACTTTACTTTGGAAGCTGAATGTGCTCCTGAGCTTCTGTTTTCACTGTTGCGCTGCTAATTTGCGCCCCCCCCCCATTGTAATCAAAGCCTTCCATTTCCTGTTGCAGTGTTCTGAGGTGATATTTGGAGCTTATATTTGGTGCTATGGTTTTTGCTATTTTTTGAGTTTTTGTGACGGTGGCTTGTTCTTTGTTTTATGATTGATTGATTGTGTGACTGCGGAAATGGATAAAAGCCCCCCCCCCATGCAAACAATGACTATCATCAGTGCAGGCAAGAAATTTATTTTTAAAATTTTTTATCATCTACAATACTGTCTTATTTCTTTTATAGGACAGTACATTGATTATTGCTTTCATTTTATGCATCAATGGTCTCATTAGATAGTAAAATTTGTGTTAAATTGCTGTTATAGGGGTTGTTTTTAAAAGTCTGGAATGGATTCATCCGTTTTGCATTACTTTCTATGGGAAAGCATGCCTTGGTTTTGGAACACTTTGGTTTTGGAACAGACTTCTGGAACGGATTAAGTTTGAGAACCAAGGTACCAATGTATAGTGAAGAGTTTATCAGACTGAAAACTTGTGCAGAAATCTATATACATTTGGGTAATTTCCACAATACTGGTCTACAATACTTTGTTCATGAAACCCTTTGTATGCTAACTTCTAAGCTAAGAAATCCAAGACCGATTCTAGCATAAATCCCCAGTTTGAGGGGGTCATGTGCCAGGCATGTTGGGTCTTGCCATTGCTCTGCACCTTCTGAGAACACAACATACAAAACCCAGAAGCAGGGGCGCTTTCTTGGCAGAAGGCAAGCTGTCTCTGAAGGAAGGACGGCAGCTCAGTGGAGCACACATGGTCCAAATGTGAATCCCTGACATCTACAGCTTTAAAGGATCAGGTGATGGAGAAGATCTCTGCACAGACTCTGGAGTCACTGCCAGTCAGAGAAGCCAAAACTTGGATAGATGAAGAAACAGTCTGACCTGGTATAAGGCAGCTTCCTAAAGGGAACCAGGGCTGATCTTTGCATCTAGAAGCTGCAAATGCTTCCAGGGAAGCCTAAAGATCCTCAGCAGTTTGAAAACCACTGTTCTAGAGAAAAAATCCACAGGAAAATCTGCTCTACCTAAACTGCAGTACACAAATATCCAAAGGAAATAATATTAAACAGATCCCATCCTACTTTGTTTGTTGGTTAACTATAATTTGAAATAATATGGAGAAAGCATACAGTCAAATAACAGTTGTCTATACCATCCTGAGGGCAGTGAAGAATAAGGTTTCCTTCAGTGTCTTGGGTCAAAGTCACAGAATTCACGGTTTCTACTGTCACTGTGTCAGATTCTTCTTTAACTGTGCTCATACTCAAATCTGAACGAGAACAGATCACAGATTAGTAATGTTTAAATGACCACACCTGTTTTGAGTCTGTAAGCTGTCTATTATCCCAGAATCAACATGATCTCATGTGCTGCTTAAATTCTAGGTACAGAAAACATGCCTGCCAGGTAGAACCACCACATGATAGCCAAGGCACAGACCTGGCTAGGAGAGCCACAACCACTACCATTGTGGTGGAGGACAACGAACTCAGAGCACGCATCCAGTAGCCCATCACAGCATTGGGCACATGGAACTCGTAGCTGGAAACACTCGTCATGTCTGGGTATGGCACAGAGATACGCCATGCTTACTCTCAATGCAGACCTAACTATGTCTGTGTAGAAGTATTCCCAGGTAAGTGGGGTTAGGATTGCAGCCCAAACCTCTAAAGGTCTTAACCACACAAAAGAGGAAGGAAAGGAAATGAGGCACAACAGAGAAAGAAACTCAGGACAAAGTACAAAGAGGCACATTTCTGGCCTAAAAAAGGAGCCCCCCCCACTGCACAGTCTGATTAGGTGAAGCCTCTTCTTATTTGCCATGGGCAACCAGGTGAGCAGCAGTGCTCAAACCTTGGAATGCTGAGTAGAACTTTCATGAACCATAAAAAATATATCATACAGAATAGAAAGCAGGTAGCTGTGTTCTCAAAACTCCTTTTGGAGCCCCACCCCAAGTCACACTTAGTTTTCTCCCAGGAACCAAGAGCTGCTGAAGAGAGGGTACTTCAATATTGCAAATGCATCTGACCACAAGTCTCATTTGGAAGGTAACTGAACACGAGTTAGTGCAACAGGACTGCTTGAGGTTCCCCGATTATATAATTGCTGAACACGAGAGATATGTTGCTGTCCCGGCAGCATACCTCCATTTCCTTGTATCCAGAAATGCAAGAAGGGCCTTTACTCTTGCCAGAAGTTTTGCTCTGCCTTCGCCGGTTCTGGAAGTGGAAAAGTCCCGTATGCTCAGAGACTGTGCCTGCCCATTAGGGGAAATAGGAAGCCCTGAACACTTATTTTTTAGATGTCCTTTTTACGATGAGCCACATAGAGATACCATCAACCCCATCTAGTGAGGCTTGCTGACCTTCCAGACAAGTCTAAACTAAATTTTCTCCTCTTAGGCAAAGATCAAAAAATGACCCAGATGGTCACCAGATTCTGCGCGCAGATTTGTAGGCATAGAACACCCCCTGGAACAAATAGATCGCTGGGAAAACTGCCGTAGCCGGCCTCCTGGGCGTCCCAGAGGCAATCTGCATGTTAGTTTAACCTTAGGTCTTTTTGTGTTCATGCAACTATTTTAATTTTAATCTATAAGCTGTTATTGTATATTGTTTTAAATGTCTATTTCATTCTTGTGAAAGCAGTCTCAGTTGTGCTTCTTGAACTGGTCTTTGACTGTAATAATAAATTATTACTATTACAGCAGTTAGTAATGTCTCAATGTGGGCGGTGAAGGAGCATTTTGAAGTCTGCATTTATAGGCTCTACTTGCCAGTCAGTGGAGCTATTTCTGAAGGTTTGGAGATTGCGGACTCCCATGGTGAAGTGGGGACCTCTGCAGCATGTGAGGACCAGCAGTGCTCATTTGGCTGCACATTTTGAGGGCAGCTTCTAACAAATTAAAACATCAAAAACTTCCCTATGCAGGGCTGCCTTCAGGTGTCTTCTACAAGTCTGATAGTTATTTCCTCTGACATCTAAAAGCTTGGGTCCGCTTTCAATGAAGGATCACCTTACCCCACATTGTGCCCATTCACTGCCTTATCTCTGAAAATGGCACTTGCAGAAGTGACTCTTATGTTTGCTCCCTACTTGCAAAGGAATCAATATTTCAGCAGGGAAGCACCTAAACACTGGAACTCCCTGCCCATTGCCATTGGGAAGGTGACTTTGCTGAACTGTTTTCAGTGTCTGCTAAAAAAAAAAGTCTAGGCAAGCCTACCCGATATGTAAAGCTGACATGCATTTTAATAATCTTATTTTATGACATATATTTTAGCTGATTCTGTTTGTAACTTTATGTTTTATAAATAAATTTAATGTGTATTTTACATTTTATGTAAACAGCTTAGAGGTTTTTACAATTAAATGATGTGCAAACTGTTGAATATTTTTTTTTAAAAAATAGCTTCAGTCTGTAATATTTTATAAATCTGATGAAAAATTATGTTTCCTTGGTGTTGTTTTGAAATGGTATAGTCAAAATTAAGTAAATTTAGCCACAGTGTGATTTAAAATGCTCAACCTTATCCATGTCATGCCCTTGGCCCATGCGAACTCCCCAACTGAATGCACCCCCCCCGCCTAATCATGGCCTAGCAGACATTCACTAAATCACCTGTTTCAGCTGCTTCCCTGGAAGTGGAAAAGTGAAACAACTGGCAGGTCACACTGAACACTGATCAGACCTAGGGATGTGCAAGTAGCTGCATCATGTCTTCAGTTCATGTCCTGAGACCACACTGACCCACTTCAGTAGAAAACATTAGTTAAACTGCTGCAGCATCTATCCTCTGCACCTACAGTGAGGGGGAAAAGTATTTGATCCCCTGCTAAATTTGCCCGTTTGCCCCCTGACAAAGAAATGACCAGTCCATAATTGTAATGCTAGGTTTATTGTAGCTGTGAGAGACAGAATAACAACAGGAAAACCCCCAGAAACCCAGAAGACAAAAGTCAGAGATTGATGTGCATTATAATGAGTGAAGTAAGTATTTGATCCCTTTGCAAAAGATGACTTAGTACTTGGTGGCAAAACCCTTGTTAGCAATTACAGAGGTCAGATGTTTCTTGTAGGTGGCCACCAGGTTTGCACACATCTCAGGAGGTATTTCATCCCACTCCTCTTTGCAGATCCTCTCCAAGTCAGTAAGATTTCGAGGCTGATGTGTAGCTACTCAAACCTTCAGCTCCCTCCACAGATTTTCAATGGGATTAAGGTCTGGAGACTAGCTAGGTCACACCAGGACCTTAATGGGCTTCTTCTTGAGCCACTCCTTTGTTGTCTTGGCTGTGTGCTTTGGGTCATGTCATGCTGGAATACCCATCCTCGACCTATTTTCAATGCCCTGGCTGAGGGAAGGAGGTGCTCACCCAAGATTTGTCGATACATGGTCCCGTCCATCGTCCCTTCGATGCAGTGAAGGTGCCCTGTCCCCTTAGCAGAAAAACACCCCCAAAGCATAATATGTCCCCCTCCATGTTTGACGGTGGGGATGGTGTTCTTGTGGTCGTAGGCAGTATTCCTCCTCCTCCAAACACGGTGAGTTGAGCTGATGCTCATTTTGGTCTCATCTGACCAGAACACTTTCACCCAGTTCTCCTCTGGGTCATTCAGATGTGCATTGGCAAACTGCAAACGGGCCTGTACATGTGCCGTCTTGAGCAAGGGGACCTTGCGGGCTCTGCAAGATCTCAGTCCTTCACAACGTAGTGTGTTACCAACTGTTTTGACGGTGACTATGGTCCCAGCTGCCCTGAGATCATTTACAATTTCCCCCGTATAGTTCTGGGCTGCTTCATCACCGTTCTCCTGATCATTGCAACTTCACGAGATGAGACCTTGCATGGAGCCCCAGACCGAGGGAAGTTGACAGTTATTTTGTGTTTCTTCCATTTGTGAATTATTGCACCAACTGTTGTCACCTTCTCACCAAGCTGCTGGGTAATAGTCTTGTAGCCCAGTCCAGCCTTGTGCAGGTCTACAATCTTGTTCCTGACATCACTGGACAGCTCTTTGGTCTTGGTCATGGTGGCTACTTTAGAATCTGCTGGATTGATTGCTTCTGTCGACAGGTGTCTTTTGTACAGGTACTGTAACAAGCTGGGATTACAGGTAAGACCTCTCCCGTACAGCAGGTGCTTCTAATCTCAGCTCATTACATACAGTGGAGATACCAGATAGCCTGACATCTGGCTGGTTGATAGGGGATCAAATACTTCACTCATTATAATGCACATCAATCTGACTTTTGTCTTCTGGGTTTCCGGGGGTTTTCCTGTTGTTATTCTGTCTCTCACAGCTACAATAAACCTCATTAAAATTATGAACTGGTCATTTCTTCATCAGAGGGCAAACAGGCAAATTTAGCAGGGGATCAAATACTCACCCCCCCTCACTGTACTATTTACGGTTCTTTTTGAGTAACTATTCTGTCACAGATTATATAATGAGTGTCATTCATGTTTCACAAAATGCCACCCAGGGCTGACCCAGCAGCTGTCTACAGAGCCAGGATTCCACCATGCTGGAAGCAGGTGAGTTCAAGATCTTCAGTGTTTCTCCCTGCATGATCTGGAATTCTCTGCAATATCACAGGTTCTGGAGCTCACTAAACTTGTACAGGGACCTCTTGCTTCTGTAGCAGGAAGATTTTTACTTGTGCCTACTGTAATTATAGTTTTCTTTATTTACTGTCAGGGCTTTTGCCAAAGCATGCAAAAGTATCCAGAATTTTAAGACAACATAAACTAAACTAAAACTCCGTGAGAACTTTCAGCTATTTTTTTTTCATTCATAGTATTTTTAGAATCACAATGCTCACTTTTACAGGAGTGCATTTTTTACTGAATTTGGCTCTTAAAAATCCCATGTGCAAAGCAATATGAAAAATGGAGGATAAAAGCTTCAATAATAGAACCCTTTTACAGGGGGAATTAATTCCTTTAAAATATGGATAACGGGCACGAGAGATTACAACGAGAAAGTAGTGACAAAGGCTTTTGAATGCACAGGTGTATTTGGGGAGAGTGTATTCTTATAGGGTGGCAGAGGGTAACACATGTATAAATATAGTGCAATAGTGGGGACAGAATACTAGTTTGAATAATGAGGTCCCCTCGGCATCATGGTCCTTTATTTTTACAAAATGAATGAAGAATTAAAACAGAGGTTCCCCCCAGCCCTTAAGAGAGCAGTTTCTTATTCAGCGGTGCCCTTCGCCATAGCTAAAGCATTTAGGATCAACAATTCATGATCCCCTGCCTTAGGTATTCAACCGCATAATGCTTCAACTATGCAGCCATCACCATCATTGATAGCCTTATTCATTAATAATTATCTATGTTTATCTGTATTAGTCCTATTCAGCAATGGTCCTTTCCATATTTAACTGGCAGTGTCCTCATTGCACTTTTCATTCATTTCTTCCTTAATTATCTCTTGAACAGCTTATCAGAACTGAAACAATGCCTGCTTCTATTAAAGACTTACCTCCACTTTTTTATAGTGGAACAGTTCTATTTTGCTATAAGATATAAAAAGAAATGCAATGAGCTAATAATTAGGTCTATGGTGATCATGCAAATGGCAGAGCGGACTCTGGCCCATGAATGCTAATATAACAGTAAATGTCTTCAAAATGCAATGAGGCTCTTTGCCATTTGGGCTAATTGAAGACTTTACAAGATCTGCAGGAAGTGGTTACGTTTTGTGTGACACTTTTTGAGGAAACAGAACCTAATTGAAGGGATTCATCCCAGAAGGGGGCATACAAAGATGCTGAGGGTTTCTCTTTCTGAAGCACTAAGTGTGACCACAATAATACAATACAGCATGTAGAATTCTGTGCAGAAGAGAAGATTTTTAGAAACGTTATTTATTCATTCATCAGTAGGTGAATGCAGAACAAGGCCGGCCGCTTCCCTCAGCATGCTGAATGGTCAGGGATGGTGGAAGCTTCAGTCCATCAATATTTGGAGGGCACCATATTAACTACTTCTGCTCCAGGGTGCAAAGCCAGTGACATGCTGTGCATTTTGGGTTGCAGTGAAACTGAAACAATTGATTTCAGGGTGTTGTATGTGAAGATCTCACTACTTACTTATTTTACATTACAACGTCTGTGTCACTTTTCAACCAGAGATGGACCTCACAGCAGCTTACAAAATATAAATACAGTACAGACAAAATAGCATACCAATAAAAACCTAAGAGCCCTGTCTGAATCAGAGCAAATGCCTATCTAGGCCAGCATCCTGCTATCACAGTGGCCAACCACATGCTTATGGGAAGCCTGCAAGGAGGACCCAAGTGTGACAGCCCTGTATGGCCCATCTCCCAAAGGAGGGAACTCCAAAGACTGGGCAGCACCAGCAAAGGACTGGTGGGCATTACCAGCATACCCACCGACATAGCTCAGGAAGAGACAGGATGCCAGGCAGAAGCCAACAACAAGGCTAATGGGTGAGCAGAATCATGTAGAAGCAAGGAAGCCTGGGCCCAAATAATTTAGGGCTTTAAAGATGGTAATGAACACTTTGAGCTGGGTTCAGAAATGGATCACAAGTCAGTGCAGATTGAACACAATTGAAAATAAGTGCTCTGAATAATGACCGCCCCCCAGTAACCAGGCAGCAGTGTTCAGGATTAGCTGCAATCTGAGAGCTCTTCAAAATTAGTCTTTATACACAGTCCAGATGTGACCACAGCATGTGCAACAGTGGCTAGACCCACTGGCAAAGGCTGGTCCAGTTGCACTCCCCAACTGCCTGGTCCTTCAGAGGGAATGAAACCCCCACCCGTAAGCATAAGACAATTTGAAAACTGAACCTAGAGCACATCAGCCTCTAGGGTGCCACAGGACTTTGCTGTTATTATGGGCAGGGCACACAAAACTGAGATGGAAAGATACCATTAGTTTGGAAAACCAGCCTGACACTAGGGAGGGAGGAATGGAATGCTGGAGCATTAGTATTTTCTGTAGGATGGGGTGCAGCTTGTGAGAAAAGTTGTTAATGGAGTGGGGGGAGGTGTTGCACTACATTCTGACAGCATTATGCAATACTTCAGGGGTGCAAAAGAAGAGGGCCGGGGTGGGGGGATAAACTGGCAGCGCTACATTCTTTTTCTGTTCCAAGTTCTGTAGAGAACAGGAGGTGCCAGAACAATTGGAGACAGTGTGAGTTTTGAAGCCGTGCAATATTACATAATATGGAAATGCAGTGCATATGTGTAGGGGTGCAACAGGAGAAAGGAGTAAAGAATAATTAGCAGGATAATGTTCTGGCTACTTATGGGATAACAACCTTTTCTCCAAACTCCTCCTCTTCTCCTATGGCACCCCTGACACATAAGCACACTGTATTTCTGCATTATAAAATAGATGCTGCACAGCATCTCATCCCTGTCTCCCCCATCCGCTTTATTCTCATGCTCCTCCTCCGTGGCCCTGTGAACTGCCTCAAAATTCATTTCACAGGGCAATGTAAGTTAACACTGTTTGTTATTATTATTTATATGGCGGGTGTTTTGGGTTTTGTTTTATAAATGAGATGATAGAGGATATATTGATGTATTGTATGATCACCCCCTCTTCTTGTTATAAGTTTGTGAAAGGGAGGAAAGACTCCCCAAAATTTCTGGAACCAGGAAAGTTAGAATTTAAACCAGCCCCATGAATCTTCAGATACAGGAGGGATTCAATGGCTGACCATGGCAGCCATTAAGAAAATAAAGGCAGGGATATGCGCCCTTAGCAGACTCTGTACCATGTAGCAGAGCAGTGGGCCCCCTCCTCCAGCTAAGAGCTGTTTTTAGGATTGCAGTTTCCTTGATGTGAGCTTAAGAAAAAGGTATCCCAGCAGTGAGCTGGGATAGAGGGCTATGGCTGATTTCTGTAGACTGTATGTCCAATGTCCTGTAGACTCAATGTCCAAATAGGAAGACTGTAGCCATGGGAGAAGCAAGAACTCTTTGAGAGCGTAATGCTGTAGGCTCCCGTCGTAGGCTCAGGCTGTATATATGTGTACACCATTTATCAAATAAACACCACAGTCCCCTCACTGGCCTCAAGGTCCAAATAAGAACCCTGGGTTCTGACACCTGGACCTCCTGGAACCTCACAACCCTCAGAGATGGAGGTGGCGTCTAACATGGGTGTCAGAAGTGGGAACCTTCCTGTTACTTTTCTATAGGAGAGCTGTTAAATACACACCTGGGTCAAATGTGTGCATTTCTCGGAGGGTGTAGTCTGTGGGGCACCTGGACTCCCCCATCTAATTTAGCATGTTAAAATACAAGTCGGGTGCCATCCTGGTGCCTTTTGGGGTGGCAGGCTCCGGTGGTAGATATTGTGTCAACAAGCCATTTATCAGAAGGACCCCGTGGTCTCCAATGTGGCCACAGAGTCAAGGACCGTAATCCTGGACTCCCCCGGTGCCGCGGAGACTGGGGTGGTGCGTGAGAGTGCCGAGTGTGGGGATGCCTGAACACCGCTCCCCCTCGGGGTTTGGCCTTGGACAGCGCAAGCCCGCCTGGGGCGAGGGGGAGACCCGCGACACGGAGCCTCCCGGCGGGAAGGAGACTCCGGCGTGACTGTCGCTGCTGCTGCCGCTGGTCGAGTGCGCAGAGCGCCCCAAGGCCTCGGGGCCGCTCACAGCGCTGCTCAAGGGCGGAATGAGAAGCCCGGGGGGCCCTCGCAGCGGCTCACCGGAGAGGACGGAGGCGCTTCCCGTGTCCTCCCTCCGAGACCTCCCTCCCTCCCCTCCGAGGCGCCGCTTTTCGGGCGCAGCCAAGGCCCCTCCCCCCCCGCTCCCCGCGCACCCCAACCTCCGCCGCCGCCGCCACCGGAGGGCCATGGCCTCCGCCTCCGCTGGGCGCCCGCCCGGCCTGATCCCCGGCCGCCTCTCCGCCCGCCCGCCCGCCCGCCCGCCTCGCGCCTCGCTTACTTCCTGTTTTGGGTCCGGGCACTTGAGAAACCAGGATGGAGGCGCCCAAGTACCAGGATGGAGGGAGAGAGAGAGAGCGAGTCCGCCCCGCCCGCCCGCCTCGAGCGGACGCAGAAGGAGAAGCGGAGGAGGGGCCTAGTCGCGGGGGGGGAGGAAGCCGCCCGCCAAGGCCCCGCCCACGGCTTCCGGCGCCACAAAAGTCGCCGAGCGGGGTCGGGAGACGCGCGGCGGGAAGCGCGCCAAATAGGTCCCGCGCCGCGCGCCTCCGCCCCATTGGCCGGCCTCGCCGCCTCCGCGCCCGCCGCTCTTCTCCCGTGGGGGCCCCTCGCAAAATGGCGCCTCCGCCGCCGCCGCCGCCTCCGCTGTTCCCTCAGCGAAGCGCAATAGCAGCGGGGACTGGGCCTCCCCCGGGATGTGAGGAGGATATATTGTACTGCACTGTGTTTTCTGCTGGGGCCGGAGGAGGGAGGGGCGGCGGCGGAGGAAGCAGCCTCTCCAGGGACTGATGACGGATATATAGCAAGTTCTCATATATATTAAAAGCCAAACATTCACAAAGCGATTTCAGCCTTTCTGTGAATGAGTATGAAATCATAGAACGTGACCAGACTTGACAGAAAATATCCCAAGTTTCCCTCGACCTCAGAACAAAACTCCCAACGGAAAGGCGGCAGAGAGTTTCCTTCCCCTCTAAAGGAGAATCTACCGCAACAGCCTCTCTTTCTCTTTTCCTTCTAAAAAGCAATATATAAAAAGTGTTGCAGCATCTTAAGGCTGCCGCATTGAACACAACGGGACCACGCACAGGAATCTGCGGACATTTCATAGAATGGCAGAGTTGGGAGGGACCCCCGAGGGTCATCTAGTCCAACCCTCAATGCCCAGCGACAAAAGCACCTGAGATTAAGAGGCTCCTGCTGTACCTACAGAGCGATATGAGCTGGTTGCCACTGTTCTTTTAGGAATGGTGGGAATGTGCTGTTGTGGAGGCAGATCATTTGATATTGTTCCACGCCTAATCCCACCTTTCCTCCCAGGAGCTTCTCCCCTTCCCCATTTTGCCTCAACCCTTTTGGGGTAGGTGAGGCTGAGAGATGGCAACTGGCCCAAGGTCCCCACCCTCCGCCCCGTGGTCTTCATCACTAGGTGTGGATTCAAATCCTGGCTTTCCAGGTTTTAGTCCAAATGGTCCAGCCCGTCTCCCTTGCTGGCTGCCCAGGAGTCTCCATGTGTGCTCTTTCGGGTGGCCATTGATGTGCAGAGCAGCTCCATCCTCTTCCAGTGCCACTGAAGACAAAAGACAAAAAGATGCAGAAGCCACGGTGGTGTCCTTCCACTCTGGCCACAAATATTCCCACAGCATCTCATAAAGATCAATGGTAAAACAGTTCTTGGTTTCAGGCTTGCAGTCTAATGACACAACACAAAACAAAAGGGGGGAAAACAAACTTCCGAGCTACAGTCTGCCATTTCGAAGAAGACTTCTGCCATGGGCATGATTGACTGTGGATCAGCCATGTTTTATTGACATACTTTTTGGAGAACATTTGCAGACTGCAAACAATACATCTCCTTCCAATGTTTTTCTTCTTGTGATTTTTACACAATGGCCATTGTAAAGGTAAAGGTAAAGGTACCCCTGCCCGTATGGGCCAGTCTTGACAGACTCTAGGGTTGTGCGCCCATCTCACTCAAGAGGCCGGGGGCCAGCGCTGTCCGGAGACACTTCTGGGTCACATGGCCAGCGTGACATCGCTGCTCTGGCGAGCCAGAGCCGCACACGGAAACGCCGTTTACCTTCCCACTAGTAAGCAGTCCCTATTTATCTACTTGCACCCGGGGGTGCTTTCGAACTGCTAGGTTGGCAGGCGCTTGGACCGAACAACGGGAGCGCACCCCGCCGCGGGGATTCGAACCGCCGACCTTTCGATCGGCAAGCCCTAGGTGCTGAGGCTTTTACCCACAGCGCCACCCGCATCCCTTAATGGCCATTGTAGGTAGACATAAACTCTTGATGAATGGGGCCTCCTAGGAGGGGTGCCTTGTCATAAGGTTGGCTTCACTGGATAACGTTCCCTGAGCAAAGTTGTACATGACTTTAGGCATTTCCTCCACAAGTCCAGCATTTGACATTATTCACATAGGCGTGAACTATATATGCAAAACGCTTGAGGCATGCATTTATGTTGGTATCCCTTTGTCTTGGGAGACCATGGAGTGCGCCTCTGGAGGTGAAGTCAAACTGCTGGAGCATCACAGCACCGGCTGTGGCTGCAGAACCCACCCCATGCACCATCCCTTCAGACCAGGCTTCCTCAACCTTGGCCCTCCAGATGTTTTTTGGCCTACAACTCCCATGATCCCTAGCTAGCAGGACCAGTGGTCAGGGATGATGGAAACTGTAGTCTCAAAACATCTGGAGGGCCAAGGTTGAGGAAGCCTGGTTTAGACTGAGAATAATTAGCTGCTAACAGTGAAAGGGGAAGTGCTCTGCTGGAGCAGATAGAGCCCAGGCACCTCATTCAAAACACAGGAGAAGAGTCGTCAAGGAGAATAGCCTCTACGTTCCTTGTTTCATGTGCTACGCCACGTAATGGACAAGTTCACCTCACTGTCCACCAGGCAGCCTCACGGGGGTTCTGCTTCCCTTTCTCTGACAGGGTTCGGTTTGCAGCTTGGACTGCCAGTCCCGGCTTCCTTCATGGGAAGGCACTTCACCTGAGGGTGGCCTCTCCTCTAACGTGTGGTGATGGGCAGATTCCTCTTTCTCTAGGGCTCTTTGGCCTCTCTCCTGAAGGACCCTGTCTTGCCTGTGCCTACCTCTATGGGGATTTAAAGGAGAAAAGCAGAGGATCATATGTTCCTATGTAGTGTTTTACCTTTTTTTTTTTTTTACTGCATTCAAACTCTGACCCCCCTCCAATGGAATCCGAGGAGCGGTGTTAAAATGTGACACCAGAGGGCAGAGCAGAGCAACCAGCAGCACGGAAAGAAACAGAATTTTGGGAAATGATATGATGAGGTATTACTTACATTTGACCAAAACAAGGTAAAAAAAAAGTTTTAGTTAACAAATATGCCCTGTGACACTTTAGAATGACATATCTAATATTGTTCTAATGGGGGCAAATAGGGTTAAACAGGTCAGTGTAGATCCAACTTGTGTTATGAGCAATTTCTAAAGCATTAAAAAGATCCACTATGACAAAGATACCCTTGAATTCTCCAGTGACCATTGGGATTGTTCAGCAGTTGCTGGGTGAACAATTAAAAGAGATCAGATCAATGATGAATCAGAGAGAGATGAAATGGAAAATTGAGATGGAGAATATCTAGAGACCTCAGACCAGGTTGATGAAGAGCTGACAGGATTGGATGATGGAAAAGTAAAATGGGACTGAACAGATGCTATAATGGAAATGCCCTCTATTCAAGGGTTTGGATGACAAGAGGATGGCATCCTGAATGGAGAGATGGAGAGCTATTTGGATTTTTCATTGATGGAGTTGAGAGGAAAAATCCAGTCCTGGCCATTCTCCAGCTCTAACAGAGAGGGTATTCTGCAAGCAATTTGGAGTAAATTTGGAGAATGATGTTATTTAAGGTGCTGTCTCTTGAAAAAGACTGAGAAAAATAAAATGGAAAGTTCTAGGGGATGATATCAAGACTCCATCGTTAATATAAAAGAAAACATCAGGAAATGGATTCTGACTATACAGAACTGGGCATGAACTCAAGGATATACAATAAGGGTTAAAAAAACCCAACATGGAATATTACTTCAACATGTGACCACAGTAGAGAAATTTTTAATATGAGCATGGATGGAAGAACATACTATTATCCAATGCAGAGGAATGGTGATGGGAATTAATAGAAGTATAGCTAATTATTATTAATAATAACAATTTGGAATTCCCTCAGAGTTTTGTGGGAAGAAGAAATAAATGATGTGGTGACACTTTGACTAAAAAGAAATGTGGTTAAACAGAAAGTGGAGATGATGGGTAACAACATGGACTGGATGGTTTAAACAGTCCTTTTCTAATGTAACCAGCAGACAAAGAATCAGAAATATTTTTTAATCTTTGGTGTTTCTTATTTCTGTGTTCTCCCTCCCCCTCTTTCCCCCCTTTTCTGTCTCTTTCTTTTTTTCCTTTCTCTCTTTCCTCTCTTTTGTCTTTTTGATTGTATTTATTCTATCCATTATTTTACTATATTGTGAAAACTTTAATAAAAATCAATTTGGATGAAAAAAAGGGGAGGATGGAAAATTGTAGGGATAGTTTTATGTCCTAATTTCATGTGATGAAATTTGTGTTGGTACCCTGGCATACAGTTCTTTTCTGCTGTTTCAAAGTTCTTTGCTTGCTTCTGAAACGCAAGTAAAATAAACGTGCTAAATTGGATAATAATTTAAAAAGTATTCCTTTAGCCCATTTTGATGCCAGGCACCTGGCTGAGCCAGCACCTCTAGTGCTCCTTATGGTTTCGTGGCCACTTGGCATTTCCCTCTT